CACCAGCAAACCTGGTGGCTGGCTGGCTGGGAGGCAACACCAATCTTGAACTTCTCTCGGGTCACTCGCAGGCAAGCAGACACCTGCCTGAGATCTCTGGAACAGCCTATCAGAACTGGAGCAATGAACAGAGCCCCAGTGGTATGCAATTTTTGTCTTTGACTATCAGTATCAGTTACCTTTTTAGTTTTTGATACAGAGTCTAGTTATATAGTTCTGGCTGGCCTGGAACTTGCTATATATAGATCAGGCTAACTTTAAATACCTGGTGTTTTGTCTGCCTCTACTTTTCAACTGTTGGGATTACAGAAATGTCAATATGTAGCTACCTGAATATTTTTATACGAGTATAACATATATTTCTATAGTCATATCTTCATTTATGTTATTTAATAGGCTTGTAAAGTTTTATTTGTGTAGGTTGCAATAAAGTTTAATTTGTGAGTACCTTGCTTTGAGTTATAACATCCTATATGCTGACATTTTATGACTACATGCAATTTATCTGAGAATCTTCCTAAGGCGCTGTGTTGCCTGTCTCAGCATGATACCAGAAAAAAGTCAAATCACTAGTCTATTAATACTCAAAAGCAAAATAAACCATAAAAAGCTTAACAAGCTCTATGTCATGTAGCAACTAAAAAGACTGTATTTAGATAATCTCCTTTTTTATCAGAATTTCAAAAACCTGCTGACTTTATAAACTTTCCAAGCAATTTTATGAAGCAAAAGATTTTAATGATCTATTTAACAAGAAAATGTTATATTGGGATTTAAGGAAACCTAAAAGACATCACCTTTGTCTCCTAACTTTCTAAATAACTACCACCATCACTTACTAGCAAGGAGCAGGATTCTATCTCTGAGCAACAGCTCTGGAAGGTTGACTTGGCCATCAACTGGCATCACTGTGAGCCACGTTTGTGGTCTACCTCCAAAAACTTGACCAGTGGATGAGGAGAGCAGAACAAACCCTTTTATAGGATCCTGATGTTCCTTCATTCACTCCCTTGGCCTAGGAAGGAGGGGCGGAACAAGACTACAGCTGTACTTCTAAGTGGAAGGAAAGAGCCAGAAATGGGGAAGAAGTGCCAGTCCTTCGGTAGTCAGCAAAGCTTGCCCAAAGCAGGCTATTTGTAGGGATCTAAAGTTTACATATGCAGTTTTTGGGAAATCATGTCAAATGTTAGCTTTTAAAATTTTGGGCAAAAATTCAAGCTGTGATATTTGTAGGTTATGCTTACCCAGCATTTGGAACACAGTTCTCATCAGATCTTATTCGTAAGAGGACAGATCACAAAAGACCCAACTATCTAAGACTATGAAGTACAAGATCAAAAATGTTGGCAGGCTGGGTAAAGGGGTTCCATAGACAGTCCCCTAAACATCACAGGCTATTGACTATTGTCCAGAAATGAACGGTAAAGCCCTATTGCTGAAGACACAACTTCTTATGTCGTCAAACACAGAGAAACCAACCTGATCACTAGAAGCTTCATCCCTGCTGACTGGTGTTCATAGTGCTAGAAGGTGCTTTGCATGCTGGAAGAGAAAAGTAATCATCAGGACCACCCAGGTACAAACCCTGCAACCTACAACAAAGACCTGCTTGCAAGATATACTGATGCAATAGTGGCCACAAAGGTTATGGGCATAGCCAACCACTTCTGACTGGATTTAAGAATCACTCCACGAGATGGAAGACATATCTGACACCACTGGAGGGGCAAAATACCTGGGACTAAATACTAGGCCTAGGGGAAGACCTACTACTATTCTGCTAAAGGAGCACAGCAGTAAAATGACTCGGAATGACATGCGGCTATACACATAGATCACAGCACTGCTCAACTGCATCAGAGAAGCTTATTCTTGCAGTAGATGGTGATTAACACAGAGACCCACAAGTGGGTGATGTGCAGAGTTAAAGACTTTGGAGCACTCAACCCTAAATGGAATATCTTCATCTAATCTCTCCCCTCAGGACTCAGAGATCTACGTGGAAGAAGAGGCGGAAAGACCGTAGGAGCCAGAGGTGGTGGATGACTCCAAAGAAACAGCATCTTCCAGGCATAAAAGGCTGATGCACGTGTGATCCAGAGACTGGGGCAGCATGCACAGGACCTGCAAAGGCTGATATCAGACAGAATCCCAGCCCTGCCAAGAGGAAGTGGACACCAGGTAACCAAGAAGTTAGTATTTACAAATGTACAATTGATATTTTCTGGGAAAGGGGAAACCAGTTTTCTCCAGTGGTATGTTCCTGGTATGTCAACCACACTCTAGGACAAGTCCCCTCAGGAGCAGTTAGACTACACAAAAGGAATTTCATGTTATTTATTTATTTATTTTTAAAGGACATGGAGTGGGTAGGGAGGATATGGGAAGAGTTACACTGTACGAAAAAAACCCATTTTAAATAAAAATTAAAATATTAGGGTGTTTAAAATATGGCTCAGCAGTTAAGAGCACTGGCTACTCTTCCACAGGACCAAGGTTTGATTCCCAGAACCCACATAAGAGATCACAACTGCCGGTAACTCTAGTTCCAGGGGATTTTACAACCTTTTCTGGTCCCCATACATACAGGCAAAACATCCATATACAAAAACCACTAAAATAATAATAAATTTTTTTAAAAAAATGTTACTCAGTAGATGCTTATTCTGATTATAATAGAAAAGTTTTAAATTATGAATAACTATTTAATCCTCTATTAACTTCTTTCCTAATGGGGAAAACTCCTCTTTTGGAATAAAAATCTCTGATGTTAAGAATCATTATTCACAGAATGTCTGTGAGAATATTGCTTCAAAACTCAGGGTTCAGGGGCTGGAGAGAGGGTGGGTGCAGAGCCTTGCTTCAATGCTATTTGTTTATCTATTCCTTCACCAGCATTTGAACACAAATGAAGGACATCTTAAGCAACTTCCTGTCTAGATTCATACTTTACTAATTGGGCTTCATTCAACAAGTAGGACTGAGCACAGGGCTGTGTGTGTTGGGGGGGTATGGAAGGGGACACCTTATATACCAGAATGCTTATAAAGGAAACAGACTTTTTGTTCTCTTTTTGAGATAAGTCTATGTAGCCTAGGCTGGGCTTGAACTCATAGGAATCTTCTTGCATTAACTTGAATATTGAGATTACAGGTGTGTATCACTTTTATATGACCCAGGTTAAAAAATAAGGAATCACATCACAGTTTACTGGACTCATTTATAATAACAACTCTCCCAAAAACAACAAGAACAAAATCAAAATAAAACATAGGTTAAAAACCAATGAAACCAGCAGACTGACATCGAGAACAAGTAGTGATAAAGTTTGATCTAGAAATCTTAAAACTGTCAAGCATAGCATTTAATTTCATTTAGCACAGAAAAATTTATACATAAAAATAATGCCTATTTACAGAACTTTAACAGAAAGTTTTCAATATATATAAAAAATTTACAAAATTTTATAATGACAAGAGAATTCACCAGCAGAAAATATGGCCACTATAAAAATGGAACATAGCTAGGTGGCAGTGGTGCCCGCCTTTAATCCCAGCACTTGGGGAGGTAGAGGCAGGTGAATCCAGTTCGAGGTCAGTCTGGTCTATAAGAGCTAGTTCCAGGACAGGTTCCAAAGTTACAGAGAAATCCTGTCTTGAAACCCCCCAAACAAACACACAAACAAACAAAAAAATGGAATATGCTTCCCTCTACCGCACAGTGGTCACGTGCCCTGGAGTACTAGCTGCAGCCAAGTAACTGATTTTGGTCACACAACTCTACAGGCTCACGTGCAGATGAGGGCTGAAAGTGATCTGCAGAAACCGGAGCAACCGCTATGCTCAGGTGAACGACGGACGCTTTCCGCTGTTTTTTACACACCATCTCACCCTTAAAGGAAAAGAGACTAACTAGAGAACAAAAGCAGAGCCAAGTACGGGAAGAAGGTAAACTGAGGAAATAACTCGCACAGTCAGCGAACACTGTAAACACTGTTGTCTGCAGAGGCGGGGCGGGAGGGGATGTCCCTTAAAGCACATCTCCCCCTCCCCACAAGTTTAATCCAGTCAGAAGAGCCTACCAGTCTTCTGGGTCACGAGGGCAAACTTGGCTTATTAAATACATAAAGCATGATCTCCAAATGCATACAGCAGAAAAATATTCTCTTCTATATGCAGTGATAGGTCTTTCTAGGGAAAAACTTGCACAAGTCTCTCTAACACAATTTCCTTCCCTTTCTTATTTGGGGAGAGATTACTCTGGAAAATGTCCCCAGTGCTCTCCTGGCTGCCTCAAATAAGAAACGATTCTTCACTTCTTGTCTTGCTCTGAACTCACCTACGGGAGGCCCCCCCCCCCCCCCGCTGTGCTCAGTCACATGACGAGGCTGGTGGAAGGCAGCTATGGCCTTGGGTATTCATGTCAGTTCACAAAGACGTAGTTTTCCTACCTTTTCCTTAAAAAGTTGGTTTATCAGAACAATTCGTTCACCTTGATTTTTAAGATTTATTTATGTGTTTATGTGTGGTTATGTACTTATGTGTGTGGAGCTGTGAGGCCACAGGAGAGCGCTGGTCTCTAGCTCTGGAGTTGTAAGAGGTTATGTGCCATATGGGTGCTGGGAACTAAACTCCAGTCCTCTGCAAGAGCAAAAGTACTTAGCGATTTTCTAGCCTCTTGACCCTGACTGCCAATAAAGTGACACTTGGTGACCACATGCCAGCTGAGGCCACAGTGACAACCCAAAGGACCCCCCCCTCCAAAAAAAAAGTCTTTCCAATTATCAAAAAGTACAAGCAGCCAGGCAGTGGTAGTGCATTCTTTTAATCCCAGCACTCAGGAGGCAGAGGCAGGTGGTTCTCCAAGTTTGAGGCCAGCCTACAGAGTGAGTTCCAGGATAGCCAGGGCTACACAGAGAAACACCGTCTCAAAAAACCAAAACACCAACCAACCAAACAACAACAACAAAAAACCAAAAAAACCTACAAGCAACGAAAGAAAGGATTTTTTTTTTTTTTACTCAACCAGACCTCTGGCATAAAAAATGCTGGAGAACATTTAGCAAAAGCGTGGGCACAATTCCAACGTCCTTAGACAGGCAGCCTTGGTATGACAGTTTCCTGGCCTGGCAAGGAGCTTTTTGCATCACTTTTGAGACTGTTACTTCCTGGAAAGCCAGGGTGCCTGAGCGCTGACTGCGTGCCCGAGATGCATCTGTTCTCTTTCCCTGAGACTGTCCAGAGCCCATCATTGCTTCTCCCGTGTCCCCCAGGAGGACAAGAGGGCATCTTGTCTTTAGCAGTGTCGGGCAGAGGAGAGTGCTAAAATAAGCACCAGCTGAATGAATAAATAAATAAATCTCATTTAATCCAAAGCTCTGTCTGGGGAAGAGAAAAAAATCTCTCACGAAATCAAAGACAACATGGAAAGCAAGAAAGATAGAGCCAAGAGTCCCCATCAACTGGGGTTTACAGATTCGACGTAAAAACAATAAAACCAAACTAACAAACATCGCCTACCTCTACCTCAATTGCCGTATTCAACAACTGATATTTGCTTGAGATTCAAAATATCTGACTGATTTCAACCGAAAGTTAACATAAAAAATGCACTCTGGCTGGGTAGTGATGGCGCACGCCTTTAATCCCAGCACTGGGAGGCAGAGACGGGCGGATCTCTGTGAGTTTGAGGCCAGCTTGGTCTACAGAGCAAGTTCCTGGACAGTCAAGGCTACTCAAAGACACCCTGTCTCGAAAAGCCAAAAGATGAAAGTGTCCTCTGGAAGACTCACAAACAAAAGCCCTGCTGCTGTACCGAACTGCACAGGAGCCTAGTGCTCCGTGTGCCTCAACATGGAGGAGACTCGTCTGAATACACCAGGTGAGTGTCCAGGGTCCCGTAGAGTAAGCTCAGCACATTGAGGACCTTTTCCTGAATGTTGTCAACCTGTTCAGGAGGACAGTAATCATCCAGACTTGACCTGCAGCCAAGAGAGAAAGAGGAAGGACCTGTGAGTAGGACAGAGTCGTTCTGTGTGGAGGGACAGCCGTGTGTGCTGCGGTCACTGAAGTGACACACAGGTTCCTGAGACCTGGAGGATGTTACCGACCTTAGGTGCGTCACAAGAATTGTTCTTTATCATGATTTTTAAAACGCTATTCTGTAGGACAGGTACCTGCTGTACTTTTGCTTTGAGACAGGATGCTGCTATGCAGACCCGGATGGCCTTAAACTGGTTATGTAGACCAGGTTGGCCTCAAGCTTCCTGTGACCTTCCTGCCTTTGCCTCTCAAGTGTGTATGACAAGCATGTGCTACCATGGCTGAACTCCGGCCCTTGTACTAAATGGCATGCACTTTACCCCCAGAGCCATCGCCCCAGATCATGTCCTACATGCTCTTTAATGCTCACAAGCCCCGAATAGGTGACACAGTGTTGTTTCAGGGTAAGGGAACTTTTTTTTCCTTAAAATTTTATTTTTGTGTGTTTGTGTTGTGTGAGTGTACACCCATGTGTGTACGTATCATAGGGTGCTGAATAGGGCATCAGGTACCCTAGAATTGGAGCTGTGGTTGTGAGCTACCTGATTGTGGGTGCTGAGACAGAACTCAGGTCCTCTGCAAGAACAGCAAATGCTCTTAACTGCTTAGCCACCTCTTCCGTGAGAATGTGTGGGCATGGTGGGGCTTTAACACACAGCGTGAGGAGAGCTCTGCTCTTCCTCTCCCCTTCACTAGCATCCAGATGCTGCCTGCGTTCCTGGCTGAGAAGAGGAGACCTACTCTCTATCTTCAAAGCTGGCCGTATGGCCCCTTCCAAACATTAGCTCCTTCTCTGATTCTGCTATTTCAGACTTCTTTTACTAGTTTTGTGACAACACTGGTTCCACTCAGGTAATTTAGGATAAATCATTTCAAAACCCTAGAATTCATCACATTGTAAAGCCCTTCTGCTGTGCAGGGGCAACACATCCGTGGGTTCCAGAGGGTAGGACACAGACATCTCTGATGGACTGTTATTCAGTCAGTCACACTTACCTTGCGATTGTCACAAGAGTAGGCTTTGGAAGATTTTTCAGTAGATAATACACAGACTGAATAAGGCACTCAATTTCTTCTTCTGTGCTGATGTGATGAGGGAGTTCTGAATAATCACAGGTTAGTCCAGCCTGGTGAACCTGAAAAGAAATTAAAATGGCACTGTGAGCTGGGTATACAGCTCAACGGCAGAGCAGACTAGCAAGCACAGCACTGGCCTCAAGCCCAAGGCTGGAAACAAAGACTCTAAATGACACTTCAATGATTCTGAGAGGTTCTTGGAGAGTGGGCAGAGAGGAGACAGGCAGATCCAGTGAGCCAAGCTGGACTAAGGAGCTTCACATTCAGAGAGACCTCATCTCAAAAATACCAGTTGACGGTGACAGTGTGAAGGCTCATCAGTAAAGGTGCTCGCCGCGAAAACCGGACCTCAGTTCACTCTCAAGAACCCACGTAAGAGCCGGAGAGAACCAATTCTACAGTCTGAGCACTACATGTGCTCTGTGACAAGAGAGGGAGAGCTCACGAAGAATCAAGGAACGCTTCACACACACTTATCTGAACACACATCTGGTATATCAGCACTTTCAAGCCCCAAGTATCATGCACCCATCATTCCTTTTCTATGTGTATAGGTGTTTTGCTTGCATGTATGTATGTGCACCACATGTATGCAGTGCCTACAGGACCACAGGAGGCCATCAGATCCTCTGAACTGCAGTTACAGATGATTCTCAGTGGTCATGTGGGTGCTAGCAACTGAACCCGGGTCCTCTGAAAGAGCAGCCTGTGATGTTAACTGCTGAGTCATCTCTCCAACCCCCATGGAAAACTATTTTTAACATTTTTTTCTGAAAAGTATGTATTTTATCACTCTTTATTTTTTAAATAAGTAACATGAACAGACTTAACCACTTTAACAAAAATTCCGCCCAGAAAATTACCTGTATAAAGCATCAATTTTACAATGATATAAAATATTTACCATTTCATAGTCTGGTATTTCCATCCGTTTTTTCAAACTCTGTACAAGTGGAACTAGTGATTCCATTCTGGAAAAAAGTCACCCCAGCCGTTAAACACCACAATAACCTTGACTAGCCTTAGCAACATACTAGATATCTTTTTTTTTTTTTTTTTTTTAAATCATGGTTTGGGGTTAGGAGCTGTGCTGGATAGTTTTATGTCAACTTGACACAAGCTAAAGTCATCTGAGAGGAGTCAACCTCAACAGAGAAAATTGCCTCCCTAAGGTCAGGCTGTAGGCAAGCCTGTAGAGAATTTTCTTAACTAGTGATCAATGGGAGAGGGCCCAGCCCATTGTGGGTAGGTCCATCCCCGGGCTGGTGGTCCTGGGTTCTATAAGAAAGCAGGCTGAGCAATCAAGCCAGTAAGCAGCACTCCTCTGTGGCCTCTGCATCAGCTCCTGCCCTCAGGTTCCTACCCTGCCCGAGTTCCTGTCTCACTTCCTTTGGTAAATAACTGTGCTGTGGAAGGATAGGCTAAATAAATCCTGTCCTCCCCAAGTTGCTGTGGCCAAGGTGTTTCATCATAGCAATAGTAACCCTAACTAGGACAGGAGTATATATATAACTCAGTGCGCTGGGCGGCGGTGGCACACACCTTTAATCCCAGCACTCGGGAGGCAGAGGCAGAAGTGAGTTCTTCTCTGTTCTCTGTGAGTTCACAGAGGCAGATCTCTGTGAGTTCGAGGCCAGCCTGGTCTTCAAGAGCTAGTTCCAGGACAGGATCCAGAGCTACAGAGAAACCCTGTCTCGAAAAACCAAAAAACAAAACAAAGCAAAAAACAAAAACAAAAAACTGTCCCCCCTCAAAAAAACCTCAGTGCTTGCCTAGCTACATGTACAAGGCTCTGGGTTTAGTCCTCAGCATTATACAAAAAACATTAATGATTAAAAAGTAGAGTTTCACCATGGATACATGCTTCAAATGATGGTTGAGAAATACGAATAAAGTTGTTTAGTACCATCGTCTTTAATTTGAAACAGGGTCTCACTATGTAGCCATGGCTGGCCTGGAACTCAAGGAGACCCTTTTACCTCTACCTCCTGAGTGCAGGGATTCTAGGTATGCACCATCTCACCTGGCCATCTTGTTAACAAAACTTGTAATTACTACTGTTATCACTGTATTTTAGAAAAGTAACTTTATTTCCAAAGCCCAGGTTAGCTTGTAACTCAATATGCAGCTGATGACCTTCAACTCCTATTTTCCTGTCTCTACCCTCAAATCCTGTGACAGAGAGTACGTCAATAATACTGAATAAGGCAGTGGTCAACACTGGGTGGCATCTTTAGTTAGCTTTGAGACAGAATCTTTCACTGACTCAGATGCTTATCAATTCAGTTAGGCTTGTTGGCCAGTGAGCTACAGGGATACGGTTGTCTCCGCCTCCCTATTACTATCAGGCGTGGCTTTTTAAATAGATGCTCAGGATCTGAACTCTGGTCCTCACAGCGATGTGGCAAGCACTTTCCTGAGTAAGCCATCTCCCTAACCCTTGAGTCTAATTTAAAGAGCAATCCATCAAGCAAACTGGAATATAGCTAGAATGGACAATTCGGGATTTGGGGAAGAAAATGTTTAGGGGGTCTTACCCAGGGTTTGAAGCCCATCTCTGTACAGTTTCTTCACCATCACCGTCACACAAATCAGCAAAAATTGCTTCTAAGTCTTCTAATTGGTGAGTTCGAGTGTCAACAATATCTACCAAATCTTCCTTTAAAAACATTGAAAAACTGAGATTACAGTTATTCCTTTTTTTTAAAAAAATAATTTATTTAACTTTATGTGGATTGGTGTGAAGGTATCAGATCCCCAGAAACTGGAGTTACAGTTGCTAGCTGTCATGTGGGTGCTGGGAATTGAACCCAGATCCTCTGGAAGAGCAGTCAATGCTCTTAACCACTGAGCCAGCTCTCCAGCCCCTACAGTTATTCCTTTAAAAAAAACAAGTAAAATACTAATGATGAAAATACCAGTTCACTTAGCTAAAAAGATTTTCTATGTACTGAAGCACTCATCAAGAAAATACACATGTATGCGTGAATATCTATATGCACACAAAGAATCCAGAGAGCTGAGAACATTTAAATAAGCTACAAGGTATTATTAGAGCCAGGCAAGGAGGCTCACATTTACAACCCCAGCACTCATGGGGCTGAATTGGAAACCGACTAGAATTATACAAATTCTTAAAATAAACAACTGAAAAACAAAAGTAAGGTAGTAGTTAGTGGTAGATAAAGTATAGGGTTTACCTCAGTAAGGTTACTATCAGGTTTTTTAAACTGGTAAAGCTCCTGTAGAATTTTGTACTCATCCTGTAAGACAAAACAAAATCCCCAAGGTTAGGAGTTTCCAACAATATGCCGGTGATAAACAAGAGAATATCTGAGAAAATATCCAAATGTTTGTCTGGGAGAATCAAGCACACTGTATACTTTAGATTTCCAAAGCAGATCTAATTTTCCAGGACAAGTTTATCCAGCTGGACAGAATAGAGTATAAAAATTGGAGAATAGGCTAACAGATCATAAAAGTGTTTCTAAAACTATACCATTATGAAAATGGATATATCCCAAGCTCTAAACAGACTGTAGCTGTTCATGGGAGACACGCATGCCTGCACTGACGATCACAGAAGGTCCCCCACGTGTACCATGCAGCTACTTCCCTGGCGACAGAGCGCTCTGGTGTATAGAAGGAATGCTGACACACAGAACCCGAGTTAAGAGAAAGATGCCTGATACAGCTAGGGTTTGTAAGTTAAATAAAAGGAGTAGACTCCTTGTAAACCTAACTAGACAGCTCCATTTCTAAGTGGCTGCATCTGGCCCAGGGGTAGGTAGGACCTAAAATGTCCTAGGCACAACACTGCAGCATGTCTTCAGGGCTTCGCTGATCTTAACAATACTATGAGCTGGGGCTCATTTATTACTTAAGTATTGATTCTGCAGCACAGAGGGAGGGGGATTGAATCCACAACCCTGAGCAAGTTAGGTAAGCGCACTACTACTGAGGTACACACTTAGTAGGCTGTGGGTGATTGGTTACAGTGCCAGAAAGGCAAGTACCTTTCCCAGGATGGCACAGCTGGTGAGCAACAGATGCAACAAACTGGAATTACCTAGTATCATTTTTTTTTTTTTCTGAGATAAAGTTCCACACAGCCCAGGCTAGATTTGAACTCATGATCTTCTGTATCTATTTTTCAAGTACTGGTCTTACAAGCATGTACCACCATGCTTTGTCTTGTTATCTTTGTTCATATTAAAAATACAGCTGGGCCAGAGAGGTGGCTCAGAGGGTAGAGGTGCCTGCCACCAAGCCTGATGATTTGAAAACTGACTTCAGAGTTGTTCTCTGACTTCCACATGTGAGCTGTGGCACAAGCCACCATCACTCAAAATAAATAAGTTCATGAAATAAATTATAAAGTATAATATAGGCTGGATATCTTTATCTGAGATGGATGCTTTGAAGCAGAAGTTCTATCACATCCCAAGAGTTTTTCAGATTTTGGAATATCTGGGGACTTTATGGGTGCATTTCATCATGGTGTGTAGAAGGTTTGGGATTTTGGAATATTTTAGATTTTGGATTATTTTTATTTATTTATTTTTTTTCCAGATAGATTTTCTTTGTAGCTTTGGAACTCTGTAGACCAGGCTGGCCTTGAACTCAGAGAGATCTGCCTGCCTCTGCCTCCTAAATGCTGGGATTAAGTGCGTGTACCACCATCACCCAGCTGATTTTGGAATTTTTAATTAGGATTGATGATAAGCTTATATATAATTTTAAAAGACCAGAAAAGAACAGAAGAATATGTGGCAGAAAACATGACCTTTAAACCGAAGGCAACTATCCGGATGTTTGCAGAAAGCTTGCTACCTGTGATACAGAGAATGCCGTGCAATTGTCAAGGTCTATGCCTCCAAAAGACGACATTTACCTGAGTGAACATTTCTTTGAAGGGATTTTTGACAGAAAAAAAATCCAAGTCAATATCTAAAACAAATGCATCTCCATCCTTCACCATCTCCAGAATGCCCCCAGCGCTGGCTGGGCTCTGGCACTGCTGGCCTCCACAACCTGAGTGTGATGGCTCTTGGCAAGCATGGTCACTTCTTGGGGTCCCTGCATCCCCTGGCAGTCCTTCTGAGCAAGGGTCTCCATTAGCAGAGGAAGTGCTCTCTCTACCGCCCAGTGCCAGCTTGGGCCTCTTTGCAGAAGACACGGAGTCACTGTCATCCTGACTGTTACAGAGTTTGTAAGGTTCTACCATGATGACATCCAACTGCAATGGTTTTTGGTTCTCTAGCTGGTCTTCAGGTACAAACAGACCATCACTTAGGAAGTAATAATCTGTACTGGTAACCCTGGAGCAAAGAAAAAAAAGAATATTTCAAGGAATGAGCAAATAGCTGACATTACTATGACGCTGCAGAAATAAGGCACACCCAACAAAAACAAGGGACTGCAACACTTGTACTCTGTCTCCAGTAGCAATGGCTTTCTCCACATCCTCAGCAGGCACAGCAGTGCATGAAGTAAAGACTACGCATTTTTTTGTAGTCCACCTCACAGCTAGATGTGGCCACCTCAGAGCTCTGGTCAGTGACTGTGATAGGAAAACAGGTGTGTGGAACAGTGCTCTCCCATCCTGCTGACCAGCTGTGAGCATGAAGGTGGAAAGTTACGCCAGCCTAATGAGGACTCCAGAGATCATGGAACATGAAGATAGAAGGAGTCAGACGTGGTGATTCATGTCTGTTATCTCAGAGCTTGTGAAGGCAAGGCAGACTGGTGCAAGTATGGGACCACACACAAAAGAAAAGAAGAGAAGGGGAGGGGAGGGGAAAGGGAAGGGGAAGAGGAAGGGGAAGGGGAAAGGGAAGGGGAAGGGGAAGGGGAAGAGGAAGGGAAAGGAAAGAACAGAAAGATCTAGTTTTTCTGAACTGGAGAGTTGCTATCCAGGCTTAGTGTGTGTGTGCGGTAAGCTCCAACCTCACAAAGAAATTGTTACTCAAATGAGAAAACAAAGGGATGGAGAGAGGATAAGTTAAGAACATTTGCTGCCCTTTCAGAGAACCAGAGTTTATTTCCTAGCACCTATAAGAGATGGCTCACAACCGCTTGGAACCCTAGCTCCAAGGTAGCCAACCTCCTTTCTAGCCTCCTTTGGCAAATGCAGACACAGACACACAGACACAGACACAGACACACACACACACACACACACAAAAAAAAAATGTAAGTTTTTTATTTAAGAAAAAATTATAAGAAAATTATAAGAAAAATTTCTCTAAATACAGATCTTTCTGACATAATTTATAACTTCATTTAAAGTATATAAACACAGTATTTTTAATATGAAAAGCAATTTCATGAGTCCTAGATTTCTGTTTTAAAGATTTATTTGGTGCTCTCTCTCTCTCCCTCGCTCGCTCGCTCTCTGCACGTATGTATGTATACATAAGTGAGCAGGTGCCATGGGGTCAGCAGGGGGTCACTGGCTCCCATGGAGCTGGAAACAGGTGTTTGTGAGCTACTTGATGTGGGTGCTGACATCCCAACTCCAGTGATTTTATAAAGCAGTAAGTGCTCTTATCTGTTGTGCCATCTTTCCAGCTCTGACCTTCTTTTTGTTTTCCTTTCTTTTTCAAAGGGACAGAGTGTGACTAAGGTGCTCATTGTGGCACCCAACACCAGGGCTCACGTGATCTTGCCTCAGCCTTTCAAGAATCTGGGACAATAGGAATATGTAGGTAATATTTCTGACTCTAAAAATATCAGTATGTTCTCAGCTTTTTGACTCTATTATGTCTCTGTGAGTACTTAGAAGACTAAATTCAATACATGCTTCAGAGGCATATTCTACTAAATAAAAAGAACACAATTTAACCCCCACCTGTCCACACTTTTATCTCTATCTATCTATCTATCTATCTATCTATCTATCTATCTATCTATCTATCTATAAGTGACTTGTGACAGGGTCTCACATAGCCTAGAGTGGCCTTAAAGTACTGTTTCTCCTGTCTCCATCTCCTGAGTGCTGGCATTTCTGACATGGGCTCATAATGTGCTGGGATTGAGTCTGGGGCTTCCAGCACACTAACCACACACACTGCCAACCTAGGTTCCACCCCCAGTCCTTATAGCTGTAAATTAAAATCAAAATAGATCAATGACATAAAAACAAAATGCAAGTTTATTAAAAACTGTAACACCCCAATGAAAACAAAGACTGTAACCCTAACCAAGATTTCTAGTCTTGGTTATGTGTGGTATACAGGCCAGTATGTGTCTGTGGAAGCTAGTCAACCCGGGTGGCATCCCTTCAGTCTTCCTCGTCTGAAGCTGGGAGTCATACAGACCTGCCTGGCTCTGCCTCCTCAGGACAGCATTAGAAGTATGTGGTGCCAGGCCTAGCTTTGCATACAGGCTCTGGGATCAAACGCAGGTCCTCATGCTTACACTGTAGAGCACTTTACTAACTTAGCTGTCCACAAAGCCTCATATTCTTAATAAGCAAATTTCACTTTGCTTCTATTTCTGCAAATAAACTCAGATTCACGCCTACATGCAATTGCAACTGGCTGTTCACACATTTTCACTTGCTGGACTAACTAATTCATGAGCTAAGCACAATATTCCCAAAGCTGAATATATTGAGTTTCTGAAAATGTCTGTGATGCTCTGTGCCAGAATAAGATCCTGTCTCAGGAAACCAAGACCATGCCTGGTATGGTGGTGCACCCCTTTCATCCTGGCACTGGGAAGGCACATCTCTATGAGTTCAAGGCCAGTCTGGTCTTCACAGACCGTGCTAGGCTATCCAAGGCAATGTAAGTGAAAGCTTGTCTCAAAAAGAAAAACAGAAAACCTGTCTCTCACACATATATCTCCACATCAAGTTGGCTCACATCTTTAACCCCAGCAATTGGGAGACCAAGGAAGGGCTGTTGTAAGTATGTTGAACAACAATAACAACAAAAATCTGTCAGCCTATACAAAATGGTTTAATTTTACAGGTTCTATTAGGCCCACTCAACATACTGAACTCACTTTTTCATACAGACCAATATTATGTACAATATGTTATATGTTGAGATCTAATCACTTTTTAAAAAATATATAGTAAACGGGGCATATGCCTTTAAACCCAGCACTTGGGAGGCAGAGGCAGGAGGATATCCATGAGTTTGAGGCCAGCCTGGTCTACAAGAGCTAGTTCCAGGACAGGTTCCAAAGCTACAGAGAAACCCTGTCCCGAAAAACCAAAACAAACAAACAAACAAACAAACAAACACACATACACACACATATATGCGTGTGTATTACGTATAAATAGTAAGCACAATTTACATAAATCAAGAAGATGCTATTCACATAAATGATAAAAACATGTAACACCAAAGGTAACATTGTCATCAAAACAGACACAGAATTAGGGTCACAATTTTTATTATCACTTAGGGTCTATAAAGTTATGTGTACATTGATTTAAAAGTTCTTCCCATCCCAAAAGAATTTAGAACTGGACTGCTACTGCTAGAGACAGACACTGTAGCAACACAAGTTGGAGGATATTGGTTCAGTACCATATAGAAAAAGCCTGATGTACACATAGCTCTAATCAGAGGGCATAGGAATTTAAACTAGCCTGAATACCAAACACCACAACAATAAATTTAAAACCTAAAATCTGCTTATCCAGAATTATTGGCTGGCCTCAGACTCAATATGTGTCTGAGGATGACCTTGAACCGACCTTTCTGTCTCTATCTGTTGAGGGCTAGGATTACAGGTGTGTGCCACAACTCCCAAGTAAATTTTATGTTTTCTCAGGGCTGGGAATTGAACTCGGGACTGTAGGCATGTTGGGTAAGGGTTCTACCACTGAGCTACACCTCCAGTCCTTACTTTGCATTTTGAAACAAGGTCTTGCTCTTAGGTTCAAGCTGATTTCAAATTTGAGCATCCTCCTGCCTCAGCCTCCCAAGGGCTGTGATTATAAATATGTGTTGCTTACCTTGTCTGGCTCATTTCTAAAAGTTAAACTCTACTCACTATAGTTGCATCAGAAGAAGAAGGGAAAAAAAAGACACCATTGGTTGTATAAACTGTAAGATAGTGTAAGATTTGATGAAGTTAGCCAGCAATGGAACCTGAATTCCAGAGAACGTCATAAAACATAACAAATTAACTAGTAACAAATACAAAGAGTACATGAAGGAGATCAAGAGAATTAAAAATCTGTTTCCGGTGACTCAGACTTTTTGGAGCACTGGGCTATCTAATCATATCGCTCTGTGTGGAGGCTCTTAGGAAGTTATTACAAGAATTCAAAGGAACAAGCATTCAGTTTCTTTTGTACTTACCAAAAATGAAGAAATTACCTGATTGTGGTGGTAGAAATGTCTTTGCCTACTAAGAAGTGGTGTTTGCCCTCTCTGATTTGCTGAGCCCATGTGGGATGAAGCCATATTATGTGAGAAAAATGGCCGGCATAAACTGCAGGCATGATCCAATTTTCAATACTTAATTCTCTGGAAAAAAACAGAACATTAACATTATTAATGAATGCTTTCTCCCAAACATTTGAAGACAGCAGGTCTCAAAAGTATGGCCCGAGGTCACAACTGTTTTCACGGAGATGCTGTTTCCCTTTCGCTGAGCAGACATTCGCACAAGACTGACAGTGTTCAGTGACAGTGGGTTGGGATGCTACGCGCCATGCAAGAATCGATTAACAGCCCCTCTCAGTTTCATGACTAGCAATCGCCCCTGTCTAAAAGCTAGTTTTGCTGAAGAATGTTCATGGCTTTATTAATTCTTCCTCCTAACTGGATATTCTAAAATATTCTGTGTAGCAAAAAGAGGAAGACAGTGGAACTCCTTCTCCTCTAGACTGTGAAGTACAATGGTTGCTTCAAGGAAAAGTACCTGGGACTGAATTGTGAATCGAGTCAATTTTGTTTTTTGAAAGCTCAATTAATTATGGTTATTTAGACACGAGGCTGGATTGTCGAATTTTGCATTCCAGCTGAACTCTCAGAAGCCTGTGGAGTTTTGGTGGAAGATCAAGAACAGTTACAACATCACTTATCTGAGTAAGTAATAAAAACACTATCTCATTTTCCAATCACGTCTTTCATCATATACTTCAACTAAAACAACACACAGCAACAGACTGAATGAAGAAGCAAACAGAGAACCCAGGTGTCGTTTACAGGGGCAAAAATCAGATCTTAAAAAATTTAAATAATTCTAGTTTTAAAATGTGGTTTTTTTTTTTTTTACAAAATAACTTGTTTATGCAGATATAATGATTTGATATTTTACAATGACCATCTGAAAACTTTATTTTTAATTTTAAAGTAAATACATGCAACTAATGCAACTATAATTCACATTGTTTTCAAGGCTTAGGCTTTTAAAAGTTTAAAAGAAAGCAGACCCTCAGGTATTGTGGTGTGTACATGCAGTCCCTGCACTGAGGGGTGAAAGGGAGGCCTTGGCTATATAACGAGCTGAAACCCCAGCCTCCAAAAAAAAAAAAAAAAAAAGCTAGAAAAAGAAAGAGAATACTAAAAAGTTTAAGAACTGTGTGGTCTGACTATATTCTTAACATTCTCTTCCAATTTCTAACTATGGAACACAGTAAGGGAATAATGGAACTACCACTACCACATTTCTTTAGGACTTAGCGCCCTGATTGGAGTTCTGGAAAAAGATCTATAGGTGACTAAAAGTCATATGCTTTTACATATGAGACAATGAGAGGATTTCAGGGAACTCTATTATGGAAGAGAAGCCATTATTTGAAGACATATAACTCTGAAGGATAGAATATGACTTATGAATTTTACTTCTATTCCTATGACTGTATTTTTCAAGATTTATTTGACTTTTAATTATGTGTGTGTGTGCACATGAGTGCAGGTGCCTGCAGGGGCCAGAAGATGGAACTGGGTCCTGTAGAGCAGTTACAAAATGGTTGTGAGCCTCTCGGTGTAGGTGCTGGGAAGCACACTTGGGTCCTTTGCAAGTCTAAGTGCTCTTCTGTGCCAAGCCATCTCTCCAGCCCCATGTCTGTGATTTTACAAAATTGAAAGTCAACAGGATTTGTGACCTGAAAATAAGGTCAAGGAGAAGAAGGAAGGACACAATTGTAGAAAGGACAGGCAAACTGACGATGTAGCATTGCATGCTTATGAGACTGTTTTCAGAAGTCACATTTTCTTGTACCCCACCACCAGGCTTTAAAAGGGGAGAGAGAGGACGGAGACCATACTCAGATGACTTCGCAAATCTCTTCTAACGTTCCAAATTCTAAATCAAATGCTGGCTTGGCTGTCTCTTATCATTTGTTTCTTTTTGTAAAGTGTTATTGGAAAGACCTCTTGCTGTTGGTTTCCACAACATTCATGACGGCTTTTCATGCTACAAAGGCAGGGATAAATAGTTGTATGGATACAAAGCCAGGAAACTGAAATGACCCCCCCGCCCCAGCCTTAGTTTCTTCTCCTGTTGCCACCATAAATTCTTTGGCCAACATAAATACTTTAGCAATGAAGTCAAGGTAGCAAGTTTGAAGCAGCTGATCACGTTACATCCATAATCAGGAACCAGAGATGAATTCAAGGTACTGTTCACGTTCCTCTCTCCACTGATATAGACCAGGACCCCAGCTGGCAAGGGCACTACTCACCGTAGGTGGGTCTACCCACTGTTAGTTTTAGTAATCCACCCAAGATAATCACCCACAGACAAGTCCTGTCGCCCACTTTTCAGATAATTCTAAATGCTGCCGAACCTACAAAGAACACTTAACTGTAAAGAGGCTTCAATGTAGCCCTGGCTGTCCTCAAACAGTAATTCTCCTGTCTCAGTGCTCTAAGGGTTGGGATCACAGTTATCAGTCACCACGCCTGGTCTTTTTTTTTTTTTTTTGGCTCTTTTAGTTTGTCAAAAACTTATTCTAAACAAAATAAAAAAGGCAAATCAATAAAAACACACAAAAGCAAAAAATAAATTCATGAATGTAGCGAAGTCTGCTGTTTTAATCTAGCTACATGTTATATTTCAAACACATGAAATATCATTAAAAACATCGTGTTACCCAAAGAGTGCTTCCTTATCAAACACAGTGTCCGCTGGCATATTCACAGGGATAAGGAGGTCCGGATGTGAGTCAAAATGTAAAAAGCTTATATTACTGGCAGGAAGATGCTTCGAACCTATGGCCCGGTATATGAAAGGCAGAACCTGTAACAGAGACACACACACACACTAAGGATGGCATGCTGCCAAGTGCAGACGGACTCTAAATAAATAAATAACTGCACAAACTTGAGGTTCATCAAGGTGTTCAAAAGTGGGAAAATATAAAAACTCTTGTAGATGGTGCTTAAGGTTTTAGGGCATTTTCTGTCCCTTTAGGAGGATGGCCCTAGGCCACTTTTACACGTTATGTGTCCAGGTTTACTACTAAATTTGAAAGCACAGACCAACCCAAAGTTGACTGCGTCTCAGAAAACAACTTTCTTTTCCTCCTTTATCTTTTTCCATCAGTAAGTCCCCTTCCCCGACTTTTTCCTGGGGGTGGGGGTAAAGTGTTGAACCTAAGGTTAACGTTAAACACAGTACCACTGAGCTTCACTCTTGACCCCTCTTGTTTTATATCCAGAGACTTCCTCCCCGTGAGTCCTTTAAATAAATCTCCTTGATCCATGGCCCTCTTGCTGGCCGGCTACCAGAAGTCTACGTAAGGAACCCGCATTACTACAGCACTGCTATAAAACGTTAAGAAACACTGAAGACATGTCCTCAGTAACAGTCCTATAACAGGATCTATGACTATGGTCCCCATTTCACTGCTGAGGGTTCAGCTCTTATCCTCGGCAGGAGACAGGAGGCGGCCAGCGTCAGATGCTGGCCAGGGCTCTGCAGACTGCTGGGGTTCGAATCCCTCCTGTCAGGGCTCGGGGGCTTCTGCCGTTCGCTCACCTCCTGGTGATCTTCCACCACCCACACCGGGAGCCGGGGGTAGCTCCTGAGGCGCGTGCAGGCCCCTCCGGTGTCACTCATGTCTTCGCGCGACTCTGGCTGTCGTGACCCCGAAGCACCCGGAGAGGTGCCCGGCATCTCCAAGCCGAGCGCACCGATGCCCTTTCGCAGCGGAAACGCGCGCTCACCCGGTTGCGCTTCCGGATTGGAGGACGTCAAGGTGGAGGGGCGGGTGTGAGAGCTATAGGCAGTGTCGATTGGTCTGGATGTCCGTCACTCCTGCTGACCCGCCAATCACGGCGCAAAAGGTGCTGAGATGCGCTCCGGAGAGTTTTCCCTCCCTAGGCTCGGCTTTTTCAGGTTTGCTTTTTAATTCCCGGGGTTTCCTGTTCCGGAGGCGCGGGCGGCGCCTCTGCCGTGGAGGCTGTTGTAGTAACCAGGCTCGGCTCCGGCGGCGACCCGGGGACTCTCTGTAGGTAAATGGGGGCGCTTGGCGGGTGATTGGCGAGCCAGTATCGAGGGTCGGGATTTCATTGGCGTCCTGGGCTGAGCGAAAGGATCCTAGGAGTTGGGTCTGGCAGTTTTGCTGCAGATTTGCCACCCAGGGCGAAAGAGCGACCCTATCTACAGAACCCGCTGATACGCAGAGGCGGGATGGGATCCCGTCCATCCATTTCTGGAGCACAAGCCTTGGTCCAGGCCCGGGGCCTCCTGGGGTCGGAGGGGAGGCGAGTCCCGCAGTCCCGCGCTTACCTCGGAGGCTGGCGGGAGATGCAAACCGGCGAATGTGCAATTGAGCATCCGCGAGGCGGAGAGGCCGGGCATCAGGGTTCCACCATGGCAGAGTGCGGGGTCTGGGTGACTTGTCGCCACAGCTTCCAACTCCGTGTGTTGATTATCGTTCCTGAACTTGTAAACTGTTCAGAATAGCTCCCTGGGCAGCCCAGGAACAGGCATTTTCCATTTACATTGAATTTACAGTGGTTCAGTATTTTTTTTTTTTTTAGCTTTTCTAACTTAGAAACGTCCAGAATCGTCTGGCAGTGAGTGTTCGATTCCATTTTTACACTGTCCAGAGGTGTTAATTATGCTGACTGTTGCCCACCTCTCGCTTTAGTATTCAGTATTACTTTTTGTTATCTTGGTCTTTTTACATCCTTATTTTCTTGTGTTTATCACATTGCAGTTTTCCTTTTGTTGTGTTGGGGATATTTTATTATTATTTAAACATTTGCATATGGGGTTTGAGATCTTTGAGCCCTGTCGTAGTCTTTGATCAACAGAGCTTGGGACAGGGCCTCATGTGTGCTGGCTCCGTAAATGATGTGTGAATCAGTGAGAATGTCTGCTTCCCGGGTGGTTTCAGTAATGCACATTCGTGGGGAGAAGCAGAGGGGAAATGCAAACTTAGCGACACAGAAGCATGCACATCAATAGTCAAACCTGCCCACCATTTATTTTGTGCAGAAACTGAAGGATGCAGAAATGACTGACTGAAGGAATTCAACATGGGCACGGGTGGCTGTCATGTGAGGCCGTTTCTGGTAAGTTCGGTAAAAGAAGTGAGTCTGGACTAAGCAGTAGCAATCTAGAAGGGATGAGATCTTGTTCCCAGAGGAAATCAGGAATGCTTCACAAATGAGGTTCAGTAAGAGGCTGGTGGGTGGGTAGAAATTCACTGGACAGTTAGGGACAATGGGAGCAAAGAAGTTTCATGATAGTGCTCGGCATGTTAACCAGCGGCGCGGGGAGAGTTCGGGCTGAGAGGGGCTTTGTGGAGAAGGAAATAGGGTGATAAGCCTGGGAGAGGTTGGCTTCAGGTTCAAATGCTGAGTATGAAGTTTGTTCTGAATTCTGTCAGCTGTGAGGAGCCCGTGATGCCAGTAGTAGCTCTTTAGCTCCCAAGTTTAATCATGAGTGTATTGGAATGAGGAGTAATCATTAATCATATTATTTGGTAGCTGCTGCTTATTAAACAGTAATTGATAGGGCTCAATTATTTGCAATTTTGTCCTTTGTCTGTTTGATAAAGGATTAAGCATTTTTAAAAATTTTATTTTTATGTATGTGTACCTATATGTTCATATATGTGTGTGTGTGTGTGTTTTAATCAGGGTTCTCTAGAGCGAAAGAGCTGCATATATAGAAAAGGGATTTATTAGAATGACATACAGGCTGTGGTCCAGCTAATCCAACAATGGCTGGCCATGAATGGAAAATCCAGGAATCAGTAGTTGCTCAGTCCTTGAGGATATCCTTGATGGATAGTCTTAGCAGGTCTTCAATAAATGCTGGAGTCTTGAAGAATTAGGCTCTAAAGCCACTGAAGGAATGGACTTGCTAACAAGGTGAGAGTAAGCCGGCAGGGAGCCAGAGTTTTCTTCTTCAGTGTCCTTGTCTAGGCTTCCAGCGGAAGGTGTGGCCCAGATTAGATGTAGATTCCTGATCTGGATTAAAGGTGTGTCTTCCTACTTCAAAGATCTGGGTTAGAAGTAGACGACCCACAGCAAATTAAGCGCTAATCCCTCACAGGTTGTGTACCCTGTACCTGACAACCAAGAATAGCCAACTCAGTGTGTCGGCCTGCATCCGTGGTTCTCAGCCTGTGGGTTGCGACCCCTTTGGGTCAACGAAGTAGTTTTATGGTTGGGGGTCACCTACAACGTGAGGAACTGCAATAAAGGGTTTCTGCATTCTGAAGGTGGAGAAACACTGGTCTACATGTTTGTATGTGTACGTGTGTGTGTGTGTGCAGGTGCCTCCAGATGCCAGAAGAGGGCATTGGATCTCCTGGCAATTGTGAGTCACCAACGTGGTTGCTGGGAACTGAACTCTGCAAGAGCCCCAAGTGTTCTTAACTGCTGAGCTATTCTCCATCCTCTAGAAAGGTGTTTCCACATTTAAGCTTTTTGCATTTAATATGTGTGTGTGTGTGTGTGTGTGTGTGTGTGTGTATGTGTGTTTTAAAGCTTTTTGCCACAGTTCAAATATTTGAAAAGTCATTTGTGTACAGTGTTCTTTGTGGGAAGAGCTGAGAATGAAAGTAAAGAACCATAACTTCTGATAGTAAGGTTGCAGTTATCTATCAGTTTGAGTGCAGCTTTCATTGTGATTTTGGGGTTGGATTTATGTCTGTATTACGGTGGAGGGAAATGTGTCTGTGAGGGATGGAGGAAGTCTTTCCTTCAATCTTTCACTAGACCAGAGATGGGCGGTGGCTGTGCTTTTGGTCTATTTAGCAATAGTTAGTTTTGAGTTAGTGCAGCTAACAAACACAGCTTGCAATTTGCCTGGAAACTTGAAGATAGCCCAGTATGTTCCTAATTTTGTTCATAGGCTAAACAGTTTTGAGGGTTGAAAATTATTACAATAATAGTGAATAAACCCAAAAAACATGCTTCATAGCATCGGCAGCTTTGAAAATGTGTTTAAATATTTTACTCTTTCTGTCTCGTAGAACTTACTTTCTGAGTGGAAGATCTGGCATATCTAGAGGATACGTGACCATGCAAGGCAATACGTGGTAAGTGATGTGCTGTAAATAACAGTTTAGGGAGACTAAAGGAGAGAGGGTAGGTAGTGGGCCAGAGGGTGGGAAAGTTGCAGATGCAGGGGATGAGCTGTGGTCATAACTCATTAGAGGTTTGCGTACAGGGCTAAGAACCAGACCAGGAGAGTTAGTGAAGCAGCCTAGAGCCCTCCCCATTGAGCTTGCAGTTCTTGATTGCAAGTAGGCCTTGAAGGTAGAAGTATATGGTTAGCAGGTGGACTGCGACGCTTGTGCACCTCCTAAGGAGCAGCTCAGAGTTTTGTAAGAGCAAGAAATCTAAGGAAGGTGTATTGGTGTTCTCTAGAGTTAAAGAATTTATAGGATGAGTCTGTATATACAGAAAGGGATTTGTTAGAATGACTTATAGCCAACAGTGGCTGGCTGTCAGTGGGAAGTCCAAGAATTCTGTAGTTGCTCAGTGCATGAATCTGGATGTCTAGCTGGTACTCTGTGTATGCTGGAATCCCAAAGAAGTAGGAAGGCGTGAAGGAGTGGACTTGCTAACAAGGTGAGGGCAAGCAGGCAGAGAGCCTGTGTCACGAGACCCCCACATAAGACCACCACAGAGCTGGTATCCAATGCAAACACAAAGGTGTTTATTGATTGCAGGCTCAGGCTTGGTCCACTGTCCAACACCCCAGTCAGCAGGTGGAGGAGAGCAGCCCTGAGCATTTACAGATTAGGGTTTATATAGGGAAAACCACAAGGGTCACAGCCTTGTCAGAGGGTCTTGGGATAGCTGGCATTTAACCTGGTTGGTTATGGCGAGGGGAAGTACAGAATTGAAGAGTAAAATAGTTAAAAACACATCAGGTGTGGTGGAGGCATGTGATTAGTGACTGTCGTCAGTCATACCCCCATCTGTCATACCCAGGGTGGAGTTCAACTCGTTTTGGGAACTTGGGAGAACTTGGGGTCTCTGAGAGGGCATAAGAGGGGTGGTCTTAGTTTAGCTCAGATTTGACCCTCACAACGGCTCATTGGGATGGTCTTGCATTTGGGAAACCCTGTTTTCATTGTGATGTGTGTGCGTCCACATAGACCCATGCAGAGGACTGATGATGACCTCAGGTGCCACCCACTTTTTGAGACATGCTTTCTCACTATGTGATTGGCCAGGGAGCCTCAGGATCCCACCTGTCTCTGCCTTCCCAGCTGTGGAATTACAAGCATGTCCACTATGTTTGACTTTTTTTTATGTGCTATGTGGCTTGACCTCAGGTCCTTGTATTCTCTTTATCCTGTGAGGCTTTGGTTTTTTTTTTTTTTTTTTTTTTTTTTTGAGACAGGGTTTCTCTGTGTAATCCTAACTGTCCTGGAACTCACTCTGTAGTCCGGTCTGGCCTTGAACTAAGAGATCCTCCTGCCTCTCCCTCCTGAGTGCTGAGATTGAAGACGTGTGCCAATTTTTTTTTTTTTTAAAGTTCCATTTGTTTTGTGTGTGTCTGTGTGTAGGTCACAGGTCAGTTTGCAGGAGTCTGTTCTTACCACGATGTGCTTCTTGGTGAGGCCCCGTTTTGATTTCTTTTTTCCTTTCCTCTAAAAAGTCACAGAATGTCGTTCCACCCAGGACGGGGGTGTCCCCGAGGACGAGGAGGACATGGAGCCAGACCCTCAGCGCCAGCTTTCAGACCCCAAAATCTGAGACTTCT